TTTAGTTCACTGCATTATATTTCTTTATTAATGACTTAGATGAAGGGTTAGAAGGCATCATCATCAAGTTTGCAGACGACACCAAATTGGAAGAGATAGCCAATACTCAGGAAGACAGGAGCAGAATTCAAAACAATCTGAACAGATTAGAGAGAGGATGGGCCAAAAGTAACAAAATGAATTTCAACAGTGACAAATGCAAGATACTCTGCTTAAACAGAAAAAATGAAATGCAAAGATACAGAATGGGAGACGTCTGGCTTGAGAGAAGTACCCGTAAAAAAGATCTTGGAGTCCTCATGGACAAGTTAAACATGAGCCAAGAATGTCATGTGGCGGCTAAAAAAGCCAAAGGGATTTTGGAGTGCATAAATAGGAGTATAGCATCTAGATCCAGGGAAGTCATGCTACCCCTCTATTCTGCCTTGGTCAGACCACACCTGGAATCACAGTGTCCAGTTCTGGGCACCACAGTTGAAGGGAGATGTTGACAAGCTGGAATGTGTCCAGAGGAGGGTGACTAAAATGATCAAGTGTCAGGAGAACAAGCCCCATGAGGAGTGGCTTAAAGAGCTGGGCATGTTTAGCCTGAAGAAGAGAAGGTTGAGAGGAGACATGATAGCCATGTATAAATATGTGAGGGGAAGTCATAGGGAGGAGTAAGCAAGCTTGTTTTCAGTTGCCCTGGAGACTAGGACGCAATGGCTTCAAACTCCAGGAAAGGAGGTTCCACCTGAACATTTGGAGAACTTCCTTACTATGAGAGCTGTTCAGCAGTGGAACTCTCTGCCCCAGACTGTAATCAAGGCTCTTTCTTTGGAGGCTTTTAAGCAGAGGCTAAATGGCCATCTGTTGGGGGTGCTTTGAATGTGATTTTCCTGCTTCTTGGCAGGGGGTTGGACTGAATGGCCCATGAGGTCTCTTCCAACTATGATTCTATGATTATATTTCAGTACTGCGCAGTGTTCCATGTGCATTATGTCTCTAATTCCTGCAAAACCTCTGTAGGGCAGGACAACAATCCTATCCACATACAGCAAATGGTGGTGGCCACTGAATGAGTGGACTTAACTACATTTAGGAAATGTATAGGGAAGATAGTATTTGAAAACTGTTCTTCTGCTCTTATACATCTAATCCGCTTAATATTAGAGTGTTCAGCTGTGTAAAAATGATCCCTTCCAAGGATGTAAACCTGGAATGATTTTCAACTATTAAACTATCTTGGTGCATTACTTTTCTCTAAATTAGAAAGTGATCACTCTGATTCTTTTTTAAGGCTAAAGTGTTGATGGTTTTACCTGACAAGGAGTCTCCTCCTTTACACCAAGGTAGCTATTCTATGAACTCCATAAGGATATGGTTAAATCAAGTATTAATAAGGTTGCACTTTGAGAGGAGGAAAATATGTCAATCACAGCCTGCCTTTGACAAAAGGAAATTCCTTGAAACTGAGAATGACGAGGGAGGGAGAACGTCTCCTCATGTTGGGTGGCCAGGAAACTAGAGGCCACCCTAGTGCGAGAAAGAGAGAAAGTAAGAGACATGAGGATTTTTTTTTTGAGGGGGGAGAGTCTCACCAGATTAAATTCTACTCCAGTTCTGTGAGCATTCACACCAGGCCTTATGAGAATATTAACAAGGTTACAGGAGAAAGGCCTTTAGCCTCAGGAATTATTGGTGAATATGGAACTGTATTTGCACAAACACAACCAGATGAAAGCTGCTAAATGTCCTGCAGATGTGAACACAGCCAGAGTGTACTTGCAAATAGGCAGTAACGATGTGTCTCGCTACATGTTTCTTCACTTCCTTGCTTTATGCTGGTAAAACCTCAGTAAAAATAACATACAATGAATGAGGAAGAAGGTGACTGTCCTCCTGAAAAAATTGCACTTACAGATCTGTCATGGAGTCCTTATTTTTTAGTGTCACTAATGTTACCCACTTAACTAGGTGCATTGCTTTCAGAATGTGTCTGAAGTTTATTTTAGTGTTTTAAATATGATACTCTTTCTAAAATTCATAAACTGTTCTTAACACACAAATGGAAGAAAACTTGCATGGTATTTCTTAGGGCCCTTCCAAACAGGCTCAAAATTCGGGCCCTATCTTGCTTTTTTGTGAGGCATCCAAACGAGGCCTCAGGAAAAAGCGAATTAACACAGAGAATTAATCCTGGATGACATCTAACCATTGTCATGTATCATGTTCTATGGTTGGTGGTGGCAGGCTTAGCAGTTGGTGATGGAAAGGTTAATGTAAGTCTTTGTTCTAAAGGGCTAATGAATCTGTAAGAGTTTATGGGTGAAAGCAATTAAGTGTGGAGGCATGCAATTAATTGTTTTTATCGTATTTTATGTTTTGATGTTGACTGTACACCGCCCTGAGTCGCCTGCAGACTGAGAGGGGAAGTAAATAAATGTAGTAAATAAATAAATAAATGCAAGAGATGGGTGCAGCTGGGTGTTACTGGATATAAGGAGCTAGCCTTGGCACTGATCTTCAGGAGAAAAGTATTTGTCTTATTTTGGTGGTAGATGCTGCTGGTTTTCCCCCAGGCTTCCTCCCGGGTTTCTGGCATGTCTTGAAGGGCCCTTAGAAAGTGCTCTATAAAATTACTCCTTTACATAAAAACAAATTTATTATGTTGTTTTATCAAAAGCAATCTCCAATAGCAAAACCTAAACATCATATGGTTGTGCATCTCAAATCTATATTTACTTCATTATATTTAGAAAATTATTTTTGTTTAGTCTTTAAGCAGCTTTCACAGTCACATTAGATTTTGTTCCAGTTCTGATACCTCTTGTTCCAGAAAATCAAGGCAACATCTTTCAAACACTATTGTGCTCAAAGGTGGACGGAAATTGCTCAGAAGATTTTTAGATAATGCCTTGGAAAATGTTCTTTCTACTCCTTCTCCATACTGTTGCAGATTTTCAGAGCCTAATAAAGGTATTTCAGGTATAGGCATTGCTAAAAGTAAGAGTGAACAGGAAACCAACAAATGCCTTCTTTTTATTTTAAACAAGAACTATTAATTCTGTCAATGGTTCAATGTCTCACAACGCCCATGAACAAGTGTTCAAAGTAGTGCTCACTTTTACCCCACCTTGTCATTTAGGAAGTCTGGGAACTTCTCTGGCTGAGAATGTTAAAAGCCCCTTCCTAAACAATACACCCTTCTGTAGGAGGCTGCCACGGGATTTAAAGTGGATAGAAACTAGATCTGCTCTAATGTGGTGAGATTACAGACATGTGTAGTGTAGTGTATCCAGGATGATTCATTTTGTTATTTTCACCCTAGCTCTCCAACCTGGGATCATTTGGGATTCTGGCCCTGTCCTCTGGGTTATCAGCTCCCAATGTGATGTCACCTGCAAATTTGATACACATATCCCCTGTTCCATTGTACAATTCATTGTGTCCATTGGGCCCTGGACACAAACCTGTGGTACCTCATTAGACACTTCTCTCCATGGTGAAGGAGAGCCATTGGTTGGTACCCTTTGGGTTCGTCCAGTTAAACAATTCCCAATCCACCTAACGGGAACATTGCCTTGTCCATTGCTTCTTAAACCGTGGGTACAAATGTTTTGTAGTGTTTACAGTAAACTCTGCAGAAGACCTCTCGGCTGTACTTCATTAACAGAAAAATCAGCTTTTTTAACTAGTCTTACAAATGCTAATTCATTATCAAAAATGTTTGAATTTAATGGACATTCTCTATAGCTATATACCTGAGATCACATTAAATTTATTGAGCCAAAAGAGATCCCGGGTGGAAAAATTTAAGAATTCCTGGTGAAGCATATATTTTGCCACCTCCAGTCTTTTGAGAATATCATAGAGGGCTTGTTAAATGAAATCAAGATATCCTACATCTGACTTACTGAAATCAAGATATTCTACATCCATAGCATTTCCTTCATCTAGCAATTCTAGGAAGGGTCCTCCAATTCTAGAAAGTGGCACAGCTGGTACGTCAGCTGAAGCTGGTAGTAATTACTCCTGAGCATCGCTTTTTTCTGGGTTGACATTTAGAGACAGATCCAGGAGCCCCCCCCCCCCCAAGCTGCAAACTCAGTCTTTTGGGTGGAGTGTACCCCCTTCTAGAATTGGTTGACACATCAACATCCCCAGGTTGGGACCCTTGATGGCAAGCACCTCTGTCTTATCTGGATTCAGTTTTAATTTGTTTTTCTTCATCCAGCCCATTACCTCTTCTTGGCATTCATTTGGAGGAGACATGCTATTCTTAGCTAAGGCTAATTTTGAAGGCATTAAGAAATATATTAAGATGTCATCAGCATACAGGTGTGTGGTTGTCTGGTCAAAGAAAATATCCTCCAAGTTGTCAATCTGGCTTGGAGGTTTTTAGCAGACCCCCACAATGATGTCCCTGTAGTTTCTTTTCCCCTTAACTTTTACCAAGATACTCTTAATCCGGCTTCCAAGATATAGGTCATGGATCCCCTCACAAGTGTAAACAACTTCGTTCAGTTCATTTCTCAGAAATCTATTATACCCCTCTATTACTACATTCCAATCGTGAGCCTTGTCCCAGCAGATTTCAGTGAAGCCAATTATATCACTATTGCTTTGTTATATCAAGAATTCAAGTTCATCTTGTTTATTTCCTATGCTTTATGCATTAATGTAAAGACACCAAAGACCATAGTCCATTCTACCCTAGCTGCTTATTTAAGGTTTTATTCCTTCTTTCTGTTGAGTTTTTGTGCTTTCTGCCCAGTTGGAGTATTCTCTCCTGATGAACTCCTGCCTGCACAAATACAGTCTACGTCTCCCAGATAACACAGTTTAAAGCCCTTCTTATCAAGTTTGTGAGACTCTTTACAAAAAAAATTTCTGCCAAAAGCTGAGATGCCAAACTATTTCCAAGAATCCAGCTATGTTAAACCATAAAACTTTAAGGGTGGCTGTTCTTAAATATATGGATATATGCCCTCAAATGAGCAAACCATTGCATTCAGGAAAACAAAAACTTGGTGCTGGTGTTGTAGAACAACAACAAGGATGATGATGACAAATACAGATGTTTCTGGCAGAGTTTTTATTAGTTTTGTTACCACCACATTGCCTGACTGAAGGTGTGCATCTGGAGAAGGAAGAAATCCCCTTGATCTTCCAGGACATGGAAACAAAAATCCTTGTTCAGTCACAGATGTTTGCAATAGAGAACTTTCACCCAGCAATGTTCTGTTTTCAATCTACATATGACAGGAAACACAGATTTGAAATGAATAAAAAGAGCAGGAAAAGCATAATGGATGATAAAACAACAGCATGTAGAAAAATGCCCTTCCTTACTCCTTCACCCCCTCAAAAATTGCAGATGGAAAATATATATACAGTGACTCTCTTAGCATGATAAGTATAGCAACAGCACACTGGCTTCATTGGAATGGCATGATTTCATTTCCCTTCCAGCAACAGCTAAGTTATGCATTTTTGTCATGTAATTTTGAGTGATATTTCATTATATGCATTTAATTTCTCTGTAGCTCTGAAATCTAGCTGTGTAAAACATTGCTGAATAACCATGCAGGATAGAAGGGCACTGCACTCCCCTGCAACCCTCATGAGCCACATGTGCATGTCTCAGCGTGCTAGGCATGATATGTCACTTATGATCCCATTTTGTCTGATGGTCAGCCTTTCTCTACCGGGGGAAGGAAGTAACCAACTAAATTTGTGTCTGGTTTAGGTGGAATTAGCTCATTTCTGGGTTTGAAAAAAAACCCTCACCCTCAAATTGCTACAAAGGTAAGGAAATTTTTGTGTGCTTTGGCAATGTTGTGACCTGCCTCAGGCCATGGGGAGAGGCGGATAAGAAATAAAATTATTATTGCTGTTGCTATTATTATTATTATTATTATTATTATTATTATTATTATTATTATTTGAAACACAACAAGATGAGTCCACAGCAGACAACTCTGCTGGCTGTTATATTGGATCACACGTTAAGACATTTCCCAAGTGTCTACGACTGTGTGATGTATCGGTAAATAATGCAAGCAGATCCCAGTAAGGTAGCCTTTTGCAGCTGGCAGATGGTAATTTTGTCAGCGCCAATTGTGTTTAAGTGCAGCCAAGGTCTTTAGGCACTGCACCCAGTGTGCCGATCACCACTGGGACCACCTTGACTGGCTTGTGCCAGAGTCCTTGCAGTTCGATCTTTAAATCCTCATATCATGTCAGCTTTTCCGGTTGTTTCTCTTCAATCCTGCTGTCGCCTGGGATTGCAACATCGCCGATCCATACTTTGTTTTTTAACACGATCGTGAGGTCAGGGGTATTGTGCTCCAAAACTCTGTCAGTCTGAATTTGGAAGTCCCAGAGTAGTTTTACGTGTTCATTTTCTATAACTTTTTCAGGCTTGTGATCCCACCAGTTGTTTGTTGCAGGCAGATGGTATTTGTGGAACAAGTTCCAATGAATCATCGGAGCAAAGGTATTATGCCTCTGCTTGTAGTCTGTCTGTGCGATCTTCTTGCAGCAGCTGAGGATGTGATCTATTGTTTCATCTGCTTCCTTGCAGAGTCTATTATTATTATTGTTATTATTATTATTTTACTGACACAAAAGCACAGTATGTCACAGAAAATGAGATCTATATGCTGGATTTTGTATCACAAAATCACAAGTCGAACACTTCCCAAGCATCTATGACTATGTGAGAGGATTCTAGGTGATAAGGATGCATGGCATTGTGATATTATTGGTCAATCTTCTGCACAGTTATGTGTCGTTCATATTTTTATCCCTTCTTCCTTGGCAGATTTAGTAGTGGTAGAGTGCAGTCCCCATCAGCCTATTCCCAATCCATGGAATATGACCATAAACTGAATAGTTCAACCAATGGTAGCCAAGGACCATTATCTCAGTCGCCCCAGGGCTGAGAGCGGCGGTCAACAAATGCAGAAATAAATAGACAAGTTGTGAGAATCAATGGAAGTGACCTTCAGTTAGAGTAACTTAGGGGCCTTTCTGACTGCCAGATCCTTTTTGTGGACATTGACCTCAGCCAAATAATCCCCATTCCCTACATTATAGGTAATATATTCAAAAACCAGCAGTCACAATAAATAAAAGAAAGGACTTATGCTGGTTTTGAAGAATGATTGCCATGTTGCAAAAATAAACTATTAGTAAAGCAATATTAAATCAGCTAGAATTGACATAATTTACTTTTGTGAATCTGTTTCCAATGCTATCCAAAAGTATTATTATACCCAAGCCATGGGAAGCAACACCTATCTCATGTCAGTATTGCAGCCTATCTGTAATCAAGTTATACAGCCAACTGCTTTAAATTAATGTCTCATTACTTTAAGATCGTATCTAGTAAGAAAGAATGTTTAACAATCCTCAAAGCCTAAGCACCTACAAATAGCAATGGACAGCAATGGGGCCTTCTACACTGCCATATAAAATCAAAGGTACTGTTCCATTACCCGGGCGGAGGCCACTAAGGGGCACTAGCAAGAGAAGGATAGTCCATTTTATTTGGTGGTGGTGGTGGTGGGGGGGGGTTTAAAGGAGGAAAACCATTTCCTCTTGTTTTGCTGGTTATTCCCACTCCACTCATCCCATATCATAAATGAGGATTGTTTTCACAACGGGGACATGGGTAGGGAATTAACAGGAAAATGGGGAAATTGTTTTCCTCCTTCAACCCAGCCTCTATCCTCCTAAAATGGGCAACCCTTCTCTCTCTACCGCCCCCTTGTGGCCTCTGTCGGGATAATAGAACAGAACCAAATCCAGATTATCTGCTTTGAACTGGGTTATATGGCAGTGTATTTATTTATTTATTATTTACATTCTTTCTATCCCGCCCATATCAGCCCGAAGGCGACTCAGGTTGGCATACACAGTCGGCACAATTCGATGCCATAAAAATACATACACTGATAAGCAAAAAAAAAAAAACATTATAGTGCATTTAAACATAAAGACAGTGCATAATAACAATTTAAGAAAAAAAACTATGCCCTCTCGTTCAAATCCTCATACGTTTCATCGTCTTGGGCCGTTCCTGGGTCATTTTCCGATTCAAGTTTGTCTATTTATTCCGAGGTTCCAAATGCTTGCTCGAACAGCCAAGTTTTTACTCTTTTCCGAAAGGTCAGGAGGGAGGGGGCTAATCTAATATCCCTAGGCAGGGAGTTCCACAGACGAGGGGCCACCACAGAGAAGGCCCTGTCTCTCATTCCCACCAGACATGCTTGCGAAGCAGGCAGGATCGAGAGCAGGGCCTCCTCGGATGATCTCAAGTTCCTGGAGAGTTCATAGGAAGAGATGCATTCAGATAGATAAACTGTAGGGCTGGGCGGTTTCGTTTCGTTAATTCGTAATTCGTTAATAATTCGTTAATTTTTTCAAGTACAAAACGATAACGAACCATTCTGGAGCAATTATTAAAAAAAACAAATTTTCAAAAACGTTTTGTAAATGCTTCGTATTTCGATATTGTATTCGTTTCGTTATTGTTTTGAGGTCGTTTCATTATTATTTCCGCATGTCTGGGCCAGTTTTATGGTTTAATTAGTGAAAAAAAATTATAATATCACACCAACAGTCAACAACAGAGGGAGAGGGAAGCTTCAGAAGGTTTTGGAGGTTTTTTAGCGTATTTCGCGGTCGCGTCCGCCATTAACGAATCGATTCGTTATTGTTTCGGAAATCGATTTGTTAATTTTTTACCATTTACGAAATTTCGTAAATATCGAACTTTTTAAAAGGAAAATTTTGTAATTATTTTAAATATCGAAACAAAAAAAAACCCCAAATACAAATCGATTTTAGAAACAAATTTTTCCGTTGTTACCCAGGCCTAATAAACTGGGCCGGAACTGTTTAGGGCTTTATAGGCGAAAGCCAGCACTTTGAATTGAGCCCGGTAGCAAACTGGCAGCCAGTGGAGCTGATGCAGCAGAGGAGTTGTGTGCTCCCTGAGCGCCGCTCCTGTTAACAACCTGTAGACTCATATAATCCAATTCAAAGCAGATAGTGTGAATTATCTGCTTTGATAATTTGGATTATATGGAAGTGTAGAAGGGGCCTATATTTTTGTCATGTTTGGAGGTTCCCTCAATGACTCCAATGTTACATGAGTAGCAGAGAAGCTAGTAAAATAAACGTAAAGATTCATAAATCTTTGAGCTAAACAAAAAAAGGGGCAAGACCTGAAGGTGAAATGACCTGTGTTGTGTTACAAATTTATTTTATCTTAGGGCCCTTCTACACTGCCAAGTAATCCAGAATATCAAAGCAGATAATCCACATTATCTGCTTTGAACTGGATTATCTAAAGCCCCTTCCACACAGCTGAATAAAATCCCCCATTTTCTGCTTTGAACTGGAAGATATGGCTGTGTGGAAGGGCCCTCAGATAACGCAGGGCCTTTCTACACTGCCATATAACTCAGAATATGATAGAATCATAAAGTTGGAAGAGACCTCATGGGCCATCCAGTCCAACCCCCTGCCAAAAAGCAGGGAAATTGCATTCAAAGCAACCCCAGCAGATGGCCATCCAGCCTCTGTTTAAAAGCTCCCAAAGGAGGAGCCTCCACCACACTCCAGGGTAGAGAGTTCCACTGCTGAACGGCTCTCACAGTCAGGAAGTCCTTCCTAATGTTCAGATGGAATCTCCTTTCTTGAAGTTTGAAGCCATTGCTCCATTGTGTCCTAGTCTCCAGGGCAGCAGAAAACAAGCTTGCTCCCTCCTCCCTATGACTTCCCCTCACATATTTATACATGGTTATCATGTCTCCTCAGCCTTCTCTTCTTCAGGCCTCTTTAAGCCGCTCCTCATAGGGCTTGTTCTTCAGACCCCTATCAAGAAAATCCCACAATAGCTGCTTTGAACTGAGTTATCTAAGTCCACACAGGCATATAACCCAATTCAATGTGGACTTTATACAGCTGCGTGGACGGGGCCTTAGAGAATGGCGCATGTAACTCCCAGTTACAGGCTCCACCGCCCAAACCCTCTGCTGCTCACGCCTACACGTCCTAGCAGAGAACAAACCTTGCAGAGCTTGAGTGCGCAGGCGCAGAGTCACATGATCGCTTCCCCTCCTTCCAACATGGCGGCGCCCAGAACATCCATGCGGAGCCTTCACTTCCTGCAGGTAGCCCGGTTTCTGTCGCTTTTGGGGTGGGAACGAGGGAGGTGAGCCCTTATTTTACCTCCATGCGAAGCCTGAGGGCTCTTCTCTCCGTCTTCAAGCGAAGTGGCCTGTGAATATATTTCACTGTTTTTCCCGGAGCGTGTTGGATATAGAGCTGGCGAAGCTACGTGCGAGTGTGTTGCGGTGGTGAGATTCAACTGTGTCAAGCTGTAAACTCGGAAAGACCCGAAACTTCCTGCTTCTCCCTGAAAGTTACCGGCTAACCTTGGGGAAAGGAGAAGCAAGCAAACTATGCGCCCTTCCAGGCAGCCCTAAATCCCAGAATATCAAGGCAGAAAATCCCACATTATCTGAGTCAGATATCCCAATTCAAAGCAGATTTTGTGAGATTTTCTGCCTTGGTATTCTGGGTTAATGGGTTGTGTGGAAGAGCCCCCAGAATCAGAGAAGATACCCCAGAGGCCATCCAGTCCAACCCCCTACCATGCAGGAACATCTAATGAATATCTTTGGCCCCTTCCACAAAGCTGAACAAAATCCCACATTATCTGCTTTGAACTGAGATATATGGCAGATATATTATCTGCTTTAACCCAGTTTAAAGCAGATAATATGGGATTTTCTGCCTTGATATTCTGGGTTATATGACTGTGTGGAAAGACTCACAGTTAACAACCTCAAACAAGGAGGCTTCTTTGTTTGTTTGTTTGTTTGTTTGTTTTAACAAAGCTCAAGTACGGTTGGCGGGGACAAGAGAGAGGGCCTTCTCGGTGGTGGCCCCCCGCCTCTGGAATGCCCTTCCAAGGGAAATAAGACAGGCCCCATCCCTCCCCTCCTTTTGTAAGAGCTTGGAAACCGGTGGTTTCAACAAGCCTTTGAGAATGGCCAGTTCTAGCTCGGCCCCAAACATTGTTGAACATGGCCTTGCACTTCTTACCTATTACCCCGGTCATTCCTCTAATAGGCCCTGGAAATGAGCAGCCATAGACCCGTACCTGCTATTGTCGTTAGCCTGTTATAGCACTGTACTTAATTCCCAGCCCCCTCATATTTTGAGTTTGCACTCGCCTCGGCCCAGCCTTTTAATTGCCCTGAACAGGCAGGATTATTTTTAATATATATATGTGTGTGTTGTTGTGATAATTTTATGCTTATTTTGTTTTGTTAACTTTATGTTATGCTGATTACTCTGTATGTTTTGGTGATGTCACTTGGAAATCGTCCTGAGTCCCCCTCGGGGAGATAGAGTGGTATATAAATAAAGTTTTATTATTAAAAGTTTTATTATTTTTACCCTTGCCCTTTTTATCCTAGCAGGTAGTTTGGTTTGTTTGCTTAGTTCTTTTATACGAGGATGAATGTTGGGGAATAGTGAAGGTGGGTTGCGGAAACATAGGCTGGAGCTACACATTCCTATATTCCAGGATCTGATCCCAGAATATTTTCTCATCCCAGATAGACTGGCAGTGTAGACTCATATAATCCAGTGCAAAGCAGGTGATCTGGGATCACATCCTGGGATATAGGGCATTGTAGATCCAGCCATAGGCTTTTGGTGTTGTACTAGTTTGTCTATAGCAGGGGTGGCACTCTTTGTCATTGAAGGCCACATCTGTTTTATGATTACCTTCAAAAGACAATTGGATCCATGTACAGAGAATCTGTGGATACAGAGGGTCATATATATATATACATACATACATACATACATATACATATATATATATATACACACACACACATATACACACATATATATATACACACACACACACACACACACATAATGGTTTGTGCGCTTTAGTTTTTACCTTACATGTAAAAACCAGCTTAGCTGTCCAAATGAATATCCCTCTATGAACCATCTCAGAGGCTAAGATGGTCCAGGGAGGCCCCACTCTCGGTCCTGCCTCCTTCGCAGGAGCGACTCGTGGGGAGGAGAGACAGGGCTTTCTCAGTGGTGGGCCTTCCTCTATGGAACACCCTCCCAACAAAATTAGATCAGCACTCTCCCTCTTAGCCTTTAGGGAAAAAAGCAAAAACATGGCTGTGGAACTAAGCATTTGGGCAGCAAGCAGGGCAAGAAATGACCACGGATTATGTGCAATTGTTATTTGATACTGGAACAGCCTGGACCATGCTTGTGGATCATGTGATTTTAATTTTTATATTAACATGTTTTTAATCCCTTGTTTTAATGTTTAATTGTAGTTACATTTTATGATATAATTGATAGTTTATGTTACTGTTTTTATATGATAGGTTTTCATGCTTTGTTAGACATTACATTTTGCCATGAATATGTTGGAAACCACTTTGAGTCCCCCCAGGGGTGAGAAAAGCTGAAGTAAATAAATAAATAAATTTTATTGACAACAACTCCCACTGCTCTTGATTATCTGCCATATGGACTGGGTATAATGGGAATTGCTTTCAGTTCAAGATGTTTTGTTTACTTACAGTGAGGAAAAAAAGTATTTAGTCAGATACCAATTGTCCCACTTAAAAGGATGAGAGAGGCCTGTAATTGACATCATAGGTTGACCTCAACAATGAGAGACAACATGAGAAAACACATTCAGAAAATCACATTCTTTGATTTTTAACTAATTTATTTGCAAATTATGGTGGAAAATAAGTATTTGGTCTCCTACGAACAAACAAGATTTCCGGGTCTCACAGACAGGCTCCTCTGTCCTCCACTCATTACCTGTAGTAATGGCACCTATTTGAACTTGTTATCAGTATAAAAGACACCTGTCCACAACCTCAAGCAGTCACACACCAAACTCCACTGGTCAAAGAGCTGTCGAAGGACACCAGAAACAAAATTGTCACCCTGCACCAGACTGGGAAGACTGAATCTGTAATAGGCAAGCAGCTTGGTATGAAGCAATCAACTGTGGGAGCAATAATTAGAAAATGGAAGAGATACAAGATCCCTGATAATCTCCCTCGATCTGGGGTTCCACGCAAGAGTAAAAATGATCACAAGAATGGTAAGCAAAAATCCCAGAACCACAAGGGGGGGGGGAACCTAGTGAATGACCTGCAGAGAGCTGGGATCAGCATGACAAAGACTACCATCAGTAAAACATGATGCCACCAGGGACTCTGATCCTGCAGTGCCAGACGTGTCCCCCTGCTTAAGCCAGTACATGTCTGGGGCCGGCTGAAGTTTGCTAGAAAGCATTTGGATGATCCTGAAGAGTCTTGGGAGAATGTCATATGGTCAGATGAAACCAGGTACCAAAGAAGTCTGGGAAATACATTAACTCTACTTTCACTATGAATATTAGTTGTTTTTCTGAGATAGTGCATTGTTTATCTCTTACCATATCCAGCTGCAGATGTGATAACAGCAACAGGCCAGTGGTAACTTAGATACCTCCCTTTTATGAACCTTGGATTTACATCAGTAGCCAGAGCTGGATGAAAAGAAAATATAAATAGGTCATGTGTAGGAAGAACAGAAAAACATTGAGAGAAGGCAATGAAATGGACAGGAGTTACAAGGATACTCACAGAATGGGGAAGATGGAAGTATTTTATGAACTGTGATATTCTGATATGCATGAACTGCGGTATTTAATAACCTTATGACTTGCTGGAAAACATGAGTATTTTAGACTAACTTGGCCTATAATGACTTAATGTATTGTCGAAGGCTTTCATGGCCGGAATCACTGGATTGTTGTAGGTTTTTCGGCTGTATGGCCATGTTCTAGAAGCATTCTCTCCTGGCATTTTGCCTGCATCTGTGGCAAGCATCCTCAGAGGTTGTGAGGTTTGTTGGAAACTAGGACAATTGGGTATAATGACTCAGTTTTTGTTATTTTCAATGCAGTAAGAATTCACGCTTCACTTTTTAAAATCAGCAAAAACAATCATAAATGTTGTCTTGCTGTTTCTAAGATTATCTTTCTAACAAATCCATTCTTGCAACCATCCTCATACATGCACTCATGCAAGGTTCAATTGCAGCAGATATCAATTGCTGTGGTTGTAGACACTTGCTGAAATTTCTAAAGTTGATGCAAGATCAGTCTGGTTTCATGTACAGCGTGCCCTTGGTATCCCCTGGGGCTGGTTCCAGGACCCCCATTTATAGTAAAAAATAGTGTAGCAAAATAGTGTCCCTTGTATAAAATGACAAAATCAAGGTTTCTCGTTGGGAAATTTACCAATACTTTCAAGCCATGGGTGGTTGAATCTATGGATGTTGACTCCTTAGATATGGGGGACTGCATTTCTCAATTATAAAATGAATTTGTATCAGGACATATTTCCTGAGCAGCTGAATGATCAGAAACCTGTAGTGTATTTGGGGGGGGGGGGGGGGGGGGGGGGGGTGTGTGAGAGAGAACAAAATATTGTATTCAATACAGAAAAGATATCAAATAATCCTATTCACCTTAAAGGTTTAGCAAAAGTATGTGTCATTTAGGTGCTACATGATGCCTTCCGGTTTCTGACTATCCCTTCAGTAAGTGCTGTAAGAAATTTTTTTCATGCCTACCAAAGGTAGTAGTGTGAAACAGATGGCTTTAGTAGCATCTGGCCCACATACTTGCTGGATACAGATACATTGTGTGTATTTGCTTGTGGCTACACTTTCTAACAAAAGATTTTGTATGCATTGTGGCATATTATTTTTGCGTTAGGTACCTTATGCTCTAGTGTAGTGGTTCTCAACCTTCCGAATGCCTCGACACCTTAATACAGTTCATGTTGTGGTGACCCACAACCATAAAATTATTTTTGTTGCGACTTCATAACTAATTTTGCTACTATTATGAATCGTAATGTAAATATCTGATATGCAGGATGTATGCAGGATGTATTTTCATTCACTGGACCAAATTTGGCACAAATTCCTGATGTGCCCAAATTTGAATACTGTTGGGGTTGGGGGGGGGGGTTGATTTTGTCATTTGGGAGTTGGAGTTGCTGGGATTTATAGTTCATCTACAATCAAAGAGCATTCTGAACTACACCAACGATGGAATTGAACCCAACTTGGCACACAGAACTCCCATGACCAACAGAAAATACTGGAAGGGTTTGGTGGGCATTGACCTTGAGTTTTGGAGTTGTAATTCACCTACATCCAGAGAGCACTGTAGACTCAAACAATGATAGATCTGGATGAAACTATGCATGAATACTCAATATGCCCAAGTGTGAACACTAGTGGAGTTTGGGGAAAATAGACCTTTGCATTTGGGAGTTGTAGTTGCTGAGATTTATAGTTCACCTACAATCAAAGAGCACCCTGAACCCAGCCCACAATGGATCTGCACCAAACTTGACCCATTACCTACATGTCTAACATTGAATACTGGTGGGATTGGGGGGGAGGTGTTTTGGAATTCTGGAAGTTGTTGTTCACCAACACCAAAAAGGGGAGAGAAGAACAGGCAGAGAGATCTCAGCCTTCTCTGATAAAAGGGTTCCTAACACCATCAGAAATACGTGTTTTCTAATGATCTTTGGCAACCCCTCTGAAACCTCCCTCATGACCGCACCAGAGGCCCATACCCCCAGGTTGAGAAACGCTGCTCTGGGTGTATGGTCTTTTTGAGAGTTGGTCTTTGACTGGTGTTTTGAAACCCACAAATTTTGATATGTTACTTCCCAAGAAGATCTTTTTTTGTAATACGGTTACTTTTCTTTAATTTGTTTCTTTAGAGTGTTTTATAGAACTTCTGGAGGAGGAGGAAAAATAAGAGCAATTAGTAGAAAAAGGAAGGAAAAGGAATGAGAACGAAAAGAAACATGAGCATGGAGCAAAACCTTTGTGGTTTAGGTTAGGACTAAGGATGAGCTCCAAATCCTGATAGTGTTTGTGGTGAGTGCTGTAATGTCTAAATATTTACAGTCACTTTTCAAAAGTATGCAGTAGAGTTTTATAAAATAAGTCTTTAAAATATTTCAGGTTTATAGTTCTAATGCATTGTTTGATATAGTTTAGCTGCATATTTATTTTGATTTATAAACATCCTAAACTGTACGTATTTATTTGAGAACATGTCTCAGAGAGTTCAGTGGGGCTTATTCTCAGGTAGATAATTATAAACCTACAGCATTAACTTTCTTTTCTATTGAACTGAATTTGAATTAAAACTTTATTATGCAGCGGAGTACTCAATACCTATGCAATTGCAACCTGCACGTGACTTGCTATCAGTCTTTAAAATGATAGTGATATTTTCAATCCACTAACGTTTAATGTGGAGAGGTTTTCCTCTTCCCATTGTAGTAGTCCAATTGTCTATATATAGTATAGTATTTTATTTATTTGTTTGTTTGTTTACAGTATTTATATTCCACCCTTCTCACTCCGAAGGGGACTCAGGGTGAATCACAGAACACAAATATGGCAAACATTCAATGCCGTTTATACAATAACAATAACATGACAGACAACAGGTAGAGATGTGTATATATAGGCTTTTCCCATCTTTCGGCATCTTTGGAGGCTATGCTTGGTTCCTGCCACAGGTGATGCTGTCCTTACCAAAGAGCTTTCTTTGTTTGTAAACTTCCTCTTTTTTCTGATCAAAATGCCCTACCTTAAATACCTCCCAGCTTTAATGCCATTCCTATTTATCTACTCAGATTTGTTTTTGAGCCGCTAGGTAGGCAGAAGCTAGGCCAAGGGTTAGGCGCTCACCCTGACCTGAGCTTTGAACTGTCAGCCTTCCAGTTGGCAAGAATTATTGCAGCTTGGTGATTAACCTGCTGTGCTAATATAATATTAATAATATAATATTATTATATTAACTTTATTTATACCCCACTTTTCCTCCATGGGGGCACAAGGCAGCTAACAATCCCAATCAAATTAAAAAGCACAACACAAAAGTTAAAAAAACAATTAAATAGTAACATAGTGGTAAAACAGATTAAAACATAATAAAATATATAATATAATCTTTTTCTTGGTATGGATGCATCATATGATACTGTAATATTCTGACTGAAAAGAGATTTTTAAAAGGGTGGCATGTCTGCATGCCAAATAGTTTGACTTAATGCTAAGCAGCGTTGGCAGTACTTTTAGTGAAGGGTGAGAAATAGACTTTAAGTTCCTAATATGGTCTTGTGTGTGGTTTGTTTCCACTATTTTTCTCAATGGATTAAAAATGCATGCTTCAATTCACAATAAGGCCCTCCTGTGAAAGAGCTCCTTTTCTTCCTCTTGCCTCCTCGTCGTCTTGTGTGTTTTAGCTGTGTCTCTTTTTGGGACCGGTTTAAGAATTCATACCTAGCAAACAATGAAAACCATGTGGAATTTTGTAGATCAAATTATAATTAAGTAAAAGTATGGAGTAAGGCTAAGCATGATCTTTCTCCGTTTCCTGAGTTGCTGCTGCCTCATTAATCAGTGTTCAGCCGGTTCCAGTGAAGCAGCCTGCTTTGTCCTTGGCACAGCAGCTTCTTCGTCCCTTTCCCCACCCCCTGTGTGCCTTCACAGTAGGGAAAACTAGAGAGGGAAACCATCAATCTTCCTTGTCACATATGTCAGCAGCGATTCCCTCTTCTCTTCCTGTGTTCCTTCATTCTTTCTCTCATTCCCCCCACCCCAACCCAAAGAAACCACACACACACCACCTGTATTTAGAATTAGCTTTGCTGCTTTAGATCAGTTCAGTGGCATGCTCAAAGTTTGATTAGTCTGTCTCTTCCAAAGTAAGGCTGCAAAGCCGGGAATTTTTCACTTCATCTTGACAGTTGGCATCTGAAGCCCCAAAACGGCATCTTAAATGTGAATATCAAAGTAGGGCAAAACCATTTGCTTAATTTGCATCTTAATTTTTCTGTATATTTTTGATATATTTTGACTTTTTGTTTTGTTTCAGCAGGACATAGAAGGACAGAAATAAATTGAAACGTGCAAACATGAAAAACCTAGAAAATTCATGGAGTCACCATAAGTCAGAAGGTGACAAAGGCATTTATTTATTTATCATGTCAGAAGTGAATTGAGAATGCAATTATAGTGCATGGAAAAACCACAAACAAAGTTAAAAACTTGGCATTATGCTAAATTTCCTTTGACCAGAAGCTGGCCACTTCAAGTGCCTCTGGTGTTGCTATAAGAAGGTCATCCTTTGTGCATGTGGCAGGGCTCAGGCTGCATTGTAATAGGTGGTCTGTAGTTTGCTCTTCTCCACACTCTCATGTCGTGGACTCCCCTTTGTAGCCCAATTTCTTCAAGTTAGCTCTGCACCTTGTGGTGCCAAAGTGCAGTCTGTTCAGCACCCTCCAAGTCGCTCAGCCTTCTGTGTGCCCAGGAGGGAGTTACTCATCATAACAGCCACTGATTGAGGTTTCAGGTTTTAACCTGCCACTTTTGAACTCTTGCTTGCTGAGGTGTTCCTGCAAGTATGTCTGTAGATCTTAAGTTGATTTAAGGCAGTGG